ATTAACGTTGTGAGTGATGATATTGTAAGATAACCAATTAGGCGTACGATTAAATTTATAGAAATAAAAATTCATTTGTTATTCAGTCAGATAAGCAGAAATATAAAAATTTTCATAAGAAATGAAACTATTCATCCGGATTTAAATCGCATATATTTGTTTTTTTAAACAAACCAAATGTTTCAGGCCCTTTACAGGTCCCAATATCAGTCAACCGTGACCACGGGATCTGTAAAAGGTCTGAAACGTTTGGTTTGTTTGAAAAAACAAATATACGCGATTTAAAATACAGATAAATAGTTTCATTTTGTATGTGTAACTATCGCGAAAACCTAAAATTCAACATAAAAATTTTTATTAAAAAACATAGTAGTAGGTAGAGCAACCTGTGCATGTTAGTATGTTAATCAAATAATAACAATGTGCCTAATAAATTTGTGCTACTAGTATCAGAGCAAAATAATCCAACCTGAGCACTATCTAGAGCACTCAGATAAGAACCTATTGAGAAAAGATCACTTGTCTAATTTGTCTTTCTGGGAATCGAATCCCCATTCAGAGCCTATAGTGCAAACCATTGGGCTACCCTCGTCAGTATGAAATAAGTAAATCATAAAAATAAACTAGATGGCAGCCCTGTGATTGTCTTTTGACACCTAAACTCCAGCTGGGCGAGTTCCAAACACAGGCACTTCATGGATTAATATAAGCTCTAAAGCTGTAGTGGTTTTGTATGATACACAAAAATTTAATTACGGGCAGATTTATAAATAGTAGTTTAGGTATTTGGAATGGTAAAAGTAACACTCTGTCTTTACTAAATAAATAAATAACGCACACACTCAACATAGCCCCTCACTAGGGAAACCCTGTATCGCGGGTGCCATGGACACACATGGACAACCACAAATTACACCCAAACTAACGAGAGAAGTAATTGTAGGCCATACAACTATTTCTCCCGGCCCGAGAATCCAACCTGGGACCTCTGCGTGACAGTCCAGCATGGTAACCGTTCGGCCGCGGAGGCAGTTACTGTTATGTGACAATATTGCTAACTGAAGTTTAAACTTAGTTGTGTATATTGACTCATCCATAGACCAAAGATTTATGTACAAGGCTACTTGTTCTCAGGACATAGTACATTTTGTTCATTCTTCTTCGCTGTGGATGTCAGGTCGAACATTGTTCGATTTTACATTCCCGAAATGAAATAAGATATATAAATTCTCAAAACACCTTTACATAGGCCTTAGTTTGAATAACAAAATTATTCTCCCAACATACTTATTCTCTTTTCGCTATATAATCACATTGGACTTTGTTCTTTGGATGAGTCAATATTAGGGTTTTGCTACGTTTTGGAACTGTGGAGATAATTTATATACATTTTTTTTTTAAATGACTACCATAATCCTTACCTCTTTATTATATTTATATATTTTTGTGAAAATACTCCACTAATTTGTTATTATTGTTTTATACAAAACAACATGAAAGAAAATTGCTTCAATCTGATTGGTCACAAATCATTGTTTGTATGCCTAATTGGGGCTGCATTTCTTCATGTGTGTTCGGTCTTTGTACCAATAATAAACAAACTATTTATCTAAATTTATATTTCCAAGACCATATAGACCAGAGGAGACATCCTAAGCCACACAATACTAGACAACAAGTTATGATCCATTTATTGTTGCCTGTCAATTTAAAAGTAAAATTAGAATAAAGAAAACACAATGACATTTGCCGAATGTGCCCACACAGTCTATGCATACTAGTTGATCATCGTCAAACCATCTATATGTCCTACTAGACAATGGGCACGGGTCTCTTCTCGAGCGAGGGTTTAGCGCATAGTCAGCCATGCTGGCCCAATGCGGGTAGGGGATTTAACACATTTTCCAAGTGTTGTGAGCCTTCTTCAATGTGCAAGCTTCATTAAAATTTCTCCTTCACTGAAAAGCTTAAGGTAAATTTCAAATTAAATTATGCACATTATTTATTCTGCAAAACTCAAGGTGCAAGCCCTGATTTGAACCCACAGCCTTGGATGAGGCAGTGGTTCAACCCGTTAGGCTACCACGGCTTTTTATGGCATACTGGTTAGTGGTTAATACCGAACATATATTGAAATGGTAGGTAATTGCCCGTTGCAGGCAGGCAAGTTGCTTGATAGTAATTACATTCAATTTGCTTTATGACTTAATTTTGGGGCTAAGGTTTTATAAGAGATTCATAGGTTTTTGTACCTATAAAGTGGGTTGTGGGCTCTGGATAAGGAGGTCCGGGTTCAATTCCCGGTAGGACCATTTTGGAAAATGCCCTTTTCTAAGTTGGTTCTGGTCTGGGTGTTGTGGGCAGTGCCCCAGAGTGAATTCTATTGCACTGGTACTCATAGTATAGGATATTCCCTAGTTTGTGACCAGGCAAATAGAGTAGTTCTCTAGCACATAGTTATTATTATTAAATTGCCATAAAAAATATAATTCTATCATATTACAAAACAAATAATAGAATTGACAATACCACAGTACTTAAGGAAATAAATAACACTTAGATGCATACATGCAAAAACAAGTATATGAAAAAAGCAATACACAAAAAAATCGAATTTAGCCATGTACATGTGTGTTTAGATGTTGTAGCCCTCCAATATTATATATATATATATATATGTATATATATGTATGTATATATATGTATGTATATATATACATATATACATATAAAACCCAATAAGTCACTTTTGTGACATTTAAAAAAAAAAAAAATTACATTTATAAATAACTTCTTTGTGGCCATGGCCTTTATCAACTATGTCAAGTCACCACCCAAAGATATAATAGTTCCTATTCAAGAAAATTTAAGAAATATAGTATGTTCAGTGTAAAAACCCAGCTGTTATATGATAAGGGAAATGCCAGAACATTATTGTACACATTTTGAAGTGACCTTCAAAAACCACATGTTTTGAATGATGTCACTAAGAAGTCATTCTAAGGTTATTGTTTTGATGTGGATTAAAAAAATCATTAAAAACATTATTCATGTATATGTATTGTGCTTTATAGTTTTGTTAAGTTTTTTGGAGGTTGTGATACAGCCTTATGGCTTGAATTTGTTTGTTGTATGTTGTATGTAAATTCTTTTAGTTTAACTTTAATTTTTACAAGAAATTGGTAATAGTAAATACATTCTTCTAATATTGCTATGTTGGTAAATGGACAACATAATAATAATTAGTATTTTTTATGAAGAATAAGTTGAAAGTTGTAAATAAATTTTCAGTGTTTGTAAATTAAAATTGTTCAATGAAAGAAAGTTCATGCCACAAAGTTTAAATAAGTAAAAATTGTTGTCTTATAAAAAACCGTTATTGGAGCTGCAAATTATACGCGAAAAAGCTGCCGCTCATATCAATAACTCAAATTTAAAAATAAAACCTGGTGCGAAAATAGACCACGAAACTTTAAGATTTGGGCAATGTAAAAAACTATTCAACCAATTTTTTTTTGTGTGTAGATATATAGGATATTCCATTATGAGACGCTTGCAGGTCTCATATGGTAATTTGAAGTGTACAATCTTATCAGATTCTGCGCAATCTTCTAATCCTCCGTTATCTCACAGCCCGGCTAAAAGAGCCAGTTACGCGCGTTGCTCGCTACCGTGACAAATATTTCTGCAGCAAACCGAAAAAACCACTAAAAGAAAACTTAAACCACCTAACAAAACTTACCTTTCGTCCACAACAGTACAATAAACACTGCAAAACTGTAATCCAATAGATTATTGACCACTGATCCTATTACGACGAAGGCACAACAAACATTCTTTTTATCCACACTTGAGAATTTAGCAATCACGCAAAAACACAAATTCACACAAATGTTATTCGAATTTACTCAACACACTTTTGTACACCGAATTAAGAGAAACTTGATTATTTCAACACAAAAATTCGGCAACGGTCATTTACAAATGAAACATCGGCCATCACTAAAATTTGTTGCCATAAAATCGAAAGTCACGTTATTATGCGTACGTCAGTGAATGTTGCCATTTATTTCTTTTAAATTCCTTAAAAATTATAGTAGAAACTCGACAACCGCTGTTTCTTTAACATTTACCCAAAATATAAATTAATTTAATAACATAGTACATCCTTGTAGAAGCCGGAAAGTAAGGAATTACTGGTCGAGTATGAGTTACAAAGACGAGCGCCAACGAGGCCTTGTACTAATACGAGTCAATCAATCCCTGTTCCCGCCGAGACTTGTATATAATTTTTCTCAAACAATGTGAGGAAATAATAAAAGAGAGGAAGATGTAAATACATGGGTACGACACTGATGATTAATTAACGTTAAAATTTATACAACTCATTGCTAAATGCTAATTCGTTGCAAATGTTATTGTCTTTCCAGGAACATTAATAGTAGTCTGCTGCACTTCTGATGATGTGTTTTAATGTGTATCTGTCACTGTTTTTTCGTTATTGCTTTTCTCACTAGCACTCATTTTCGCGACCAAAATCTAAAAAACACGAAAAAACAAAAGAATACCAAAACACTTTAATGTAAGTGTTACCGCCATTTTCTTTTTTTAAGTAAGCGGTTTAAGTAGGTATTTTTAATTCTCGCAACTATGAAACCTAGGCTATATGACTTTTTCTTTTGCCTGTTTACATAGTTCATTATTAGTAGATAGATTTAAAAGTTTAGAGAAGTGGACAGTAATAGATTTTCGTATTTACTTTGCAAGCCTTGGCCGGAAAGAAGTCGCACGGTCCATAAATGACAAACTTACCATGTTCGTGTTTTGAAAGTAATGCAAACATTTCCGAGCATGTTTGAGAAAAATATTTTTATATACATTTATTCAGTTATATTATACACTGTAAGCACGCCTTTTCTAAACGACTTGCAGATTTTTAGCGCAAAAGACAATAACATTTGACAATACAAGATTAATACGAGAATGAAGCACTTAAATAGGAACATAAATTTTTGACATATGCTAATGTGCTATCCTACAATTTTTATGAATAAAACTAAGTCCTAGTTTATTATTTAATTTGTAATTTAAAAAATTTCGTACGCTCGAATGCTTTGGCACGAATTATTTAGAAAGATATTATTTACAAATTACTATTTAAAACATCATTTTCGCATGTAACGAATTTATCGAGGTCAGTTTCCTTAGTTATTGGATAAACGTCCTAAACTAGCAACATTACAAACGTCAAATATATATAATGTTGATATTTGTAAATAATTGTTAATTATTGGGAGTTGCATTTTTATACGAATTAATTTTCAGTATAATATGTATATTACTTTGTGCGTTTCTTGATTATTTGTTACCATTAATCTGATGGCTCTGTAGCCAATGCTTTATAAATAAATAATAAATAATTAATTACTGGTAGAATTTACTGCGTTAAACGGGACGGACATTTTAAGACTTGGGGATAAGAATAAACCGCACTTATCGATATGGAATCGCCGGTTAGAAAAACCTGTGTATTCATCACTGACCTACCAAATGTTCATATGCAATAAGAATGAAAAAGTCATAGTGCGTATTGCTTCGGCTATGACGACGCGAGCCGACTTAGGCCGGAGCGAATTCACTTCCTGCGAATTTTCGATCGCGTTCGTACGGCCTTATCGGCAGCCGAAAGACGGTATTGGTATTGTCGGTCTTCGTTGAGTCGCGTGTATTATCATCCTCACCCTCAACATCTCATTATTTGTCCCAGTGCTGGGCACGGGTCTTCTCTAAGTAGAGTTTAGACCATAGTCTCGTCAACCACAGGTTTAACTGCGAAATTTTCCTACGTAGCAGCAACGGATACTATTTTGTGCTGTTAATGTTTTATGGCTCAAAGGCGGCGGGGCATTAACGGCCAATAGGCTTAATTCGACAAGTCTGTCAAGTATTCCATATCGATAAGTGGGTGACACTCTACGATAGATTACTTATCGATTTAAAAACATGAAAAATGGCGGGTTTTTGAAGTTACGAGTACAGTTTTTACAAAGATTATTTTAATTTTAAATATATTGTGAAGAAAAAACGAAGAAAGAAATAGTGATGAGGAAAGTTAGAACTATATTCCTTATTTTAAACCAAACTACAAAAGATTTTGTCCGCAAAATTCCACTAATTACGAATTCAAATTTTTTGTTCAGTGACAATGTGATTTCAGTAAAAGTGAAAACATAAATATGGACTCCCGCCGCTTATAAGATTGTTTAGAAAACCCAAACAAGAGAAGTAAGTTATATATGAGAAAATAAAAACTTAATGTTGCAATAGAAAATATTTATCCCGATAATTAAACGAAGACATGGCTCAAAGAACCTGTATTCAAGCCAAAACTCTTAATTAAAAATAAAATAAAACATTTGTATGTTCATATGAGCTCTCAAATTATATTTTTGTAATGTCATTAAAATATATATATATAACCGTCATTGTGAATAAAAACCGCCGAAGTATTTTAATAACCGGCAATCTGTCTCACTACCGCTACACATGTCTCTCAACCCTGACATTGGCAAAATCGTCGCGCAAAACGACGGAGCCATAGACACAAAAGTTGAAGTTGAAGTTGAAGTTCATAAAATAATTATCATATGTTATACAACATAGGGTTGATAATATATAATAAGTTTCGCTGTACAGTAAAAATATTTCTCCTATATTTATACGAATTGTTTATTTATATTTTATAGTTTTTTCAACTGATGATTTTTTCTCTTTCTTCACCTTTCTACTCGTTTCCAAATTTAATTTTTAGGTTTACCCCTTAGAATAATAACGCATAGAAACCTAGTCCGCACACGCTAAGTGAGGCAAATTGAAGCGCTCCCAATGGGCCTACACGAGCGTGCGGGCCTTCAGTGCTCAAGGTCAACTTGCACCACGAACAGGTCCAGAATTTTAGCTAAAGATGACCAAATGTGCGGTAAATGAGTGTAAAAATAGATCAGACAAACATAAAATAGATACTAACATCACATTCCACAAGGCAGTAACGCGTTTCAACTTGTACCTATTTTTATATAAATATTCACTAAAACCGAAAATTAACCTACTACTAAAACTAGCCTACATGAATTTGAGTTTTGCCTCACTTGTGACAGTTCGCTTACTATGAAACTATCATTCTATGCGTTATTATTCTACGGTTTACCCATTGTAAAACGCGAAAAGTCAAGAAAAAATTGTATATTTAATACAGAGTACATATAAGCAACTGCAAAAAAATGGTGCGTTTTTGTGGTTACAGTTTTAACAAGAATTAGTTTTTACTTATGGATATTTCATATTGAGTTTCGTACTTATGGTAAATTTTTATAACCAAAACCAATCGCTCTATCTCTCAGGCTCTATAACCAATGTTCAATAAATAAACAACAACGTTAAGCATCTACATCTTTATAAAAGGACTAGCGCCTTCTCCATAAAAACAAGGAAAACGTAATAATTAAAACCTACCTATATGAAGAGGCTGTATGGTTTCTACCAGCTAAGGTTCTCTTTAGCTTATCCAAACGAATGGAAAGAAAACTTATTTAAAAAAGTAGAGAAAGAGAGCCCATTGAATTTAATTGTAGTTTCTAAAAAAAAGTGGCGAGTTTTTGTAGTTTCAGTTTTTTCACAAATTAATTAATTATTACGTTTTGAGTTTCTAAATTGTTTGGTGCTTGTTTTAAGCTGATGTCTCTGTAGCCAATGCTCAAAAAATAAAAAAACTGTAGTTTCTTTCTTTGGGGGTTGTTACCTTTGTGTGTATAGTGTTCTGTGGTTGTTACGCTGTAATGTAATACGTATTAACCTTAGAATAATAACGCAGTATTAACATAACAAATAAAATACATAAGTACAGAATATTAAATTTATTATTAACAACTCTGTAACTGAACAGATTGCAACAACGTTTTATACATTTTCAAAATGTCTTAATATGGCTCTCTATGATGGTTTAAGAATAATAATTTTACATGATATTATGGACTTCGACGATTTCAATTCCATTAAATTTAAAACTTATTAATTAAGTTCATCACAATAACATATGTGATTTAATGTAGATATAAAATATGCAAAGAACAAAACCATTAATTATATCGCCACTTATCAAGAATTGTGACCCAAACTGAAATTGTACATTTCTGAACAGCTATTTAGAAGTGTGTTAAATTTTATTGTGCATAACATAATCGAGGTTTCCGTACGTTAAAATAATCAGGCAATTCGAATCCAGCTAGATCGAAAGAATTTTTCTTAGCGTTCAATCTTTTATTATTAATAATTAAAAAATCACGTTATGACAATGGGCTGGCTGGCGTCCGAGCCGTCGGCTTTCCGTGACAGGCCATGAATTCATTCTCCATCTAAGTAATATTCTACCAAAATAAAAAACGCATGATGCGCATGAAGCTTCATACTTGACATTGTATTTTATTTTGGTCGCGTATTACTTATTTGACAGTTATTGTTTCGGACTGATGTCGGTCGATTTTTGCCATTTTTTTAAATTATCGCGCTGATAAAATAAATAGGTGTTCTTAAAATAAGTCGCTATTCTGGAAAGCCATCGATATGTATACAGCGGGGCTCCTACACTTATATTTTCAATCAAACGTTTTTACTTACTTACAAACTAGATAGGGCATCCCGTAAATAGACATAGAGACGAAAACTTAAAACAACAAGAACAAGTTATTTTTGAAAAATTTTTGGAAATTTGAAAAATAAGGAAATAAGTAATTACGGGATGTCACAACTTTTTCATTATAACAAAATTGGCCACACTGTTTCTACACTGCAATAAATATGTATGTATTCTTTTTCACGTCCCTAAAATTAATAAATTTATTAAATTTCTAGCCCACTGTAGCTACCTACTTGGATTTAACAGGCACAAGTTGATTTTTAATTCTAACACAGAGAAAATGTAAATATACGATTATACAA